ATCTCAATTTTGAAAAATTGACCCTTATGACTAGTTTTGTGCTCCAGGGACACATATAGACTATTCTTATTATTTAAGAATTAGAAAAAAACATTTTTAAACCGTCTTAGACGAAGAACAGTTTTACGTAACAGGTCATAACAAGTGTAACACTGTAATAAGTGCAAACTTCTCTGAGCGGCAAGCTGAGTGTTTGAGCTGAAGATCTCACCTTGATCTTACAGTCCATGGAGCAGGAGAGCAGGAGATGAGCAGACACCGGGAACAGACGGATGGCGCTGACGCCCTGTAGACAGGAGACCAGAGTCAGTGAGTGTGTATGAGTGTGTGTGTGTGAGAGTGAGTGAGTAAGTGAGTGTGTGTGTGTGAGAGAGAGTGAGTGTGTGTGTGTGTGAGAGAGTGTGCGTGTGTGCGAGAGTGAGTGAGTGCGAGAGTGAGTGAGTGAGAGAGAGAGTGTGTGTGTGAGTGAGTGAGTGAGAGAGTGAGAGTGCATGTGTGTGAGTGAGTGAGTGAGTGTGTGTGAGAGAGTGTGCGTGTGTGCGAGAGTGAGTGAGTGCGAGAGTGAGTGAGTGAGAGAGAGAGTGTGTGCGTGTGAGAGAGAAAGTGAGTGTGCGTGTGTGTGTGAGAGAGAGAGAGTGTGAGTGTGTGTGTGAGAGAGAGAGAGAGAGAGAGAGAGAGAGAGAGAGAGAGAGAGAGAGAGAGTGTGTGTGAGTGTCATGAGGTGCAAACACACACTGAGAGCCTCATAAAGCAGCATGAACTCCAGCCACACACAAACTCATCACTGTTTGCACACTATGATGATGATGGGCGGCTGATGCCTTGTGGAAAAATAATCGCCGAATCCAGTCATAAAAAGGGAATTTACTTTATTTATTATATGCATTTGGCAAAAAAATTAGATTTTTTGTTAATAAATTGTCGTTTGTGTACGTTTCATGATTTCGGTTTATTAAATTTTGATTACTAAAATTCTACTTAACCATTAAACAGAATTCATAAAAATATAAACAGCAAACAAATTTTCATAAAAATAAAAAGGATGTTTCTAAATCGATTTTAGTTCTGTATGTTTCATTAATTAAAATGGAATTAATTTAACGGAAAAATAAAAAGGTTTTGTGAAAATTTGTGAAAAAATTTAATTGATTTCATAGGCCCTAAAACTTTTTTTTTTTGTTAATAAATTGTGGTTCAACTGTGTATGTTTCATAGTTTCATTTAATTTCATTTTGATTACTAATATTTAATTTAACCATTAAAACAAGGCCCTACCTTGGTGTGTCCGGTCCAAACGTGCAGCTGTTTTTTGGGCAGGTAGCATTTCTCCGGGACGTCTGCTGAGCGCAGGTTGATGCCCACGTCCTGAGGAACGTGCAGGTACGAGCGGCCCTGATAATCGTATGCATCTTTAACTGCAGGGAGGGAGAGAAAGCGGTTTAACAGCAGACCGAAGACACATTTAGCTGCACGTATGTTGCTGTTGAGGTTGTGTGTCGTACGGTGCAGGACGGTCTTCTCCTCCGCTGGAGCCTCTTCTTCATTCTTGCCTCTCTTCTGTCTCTTGGCTATGATCTCGTCTAGCTCTTTCTGCTCGTCCTGTCACATCAAAACAGGATTAAGCAAATTATTAGTCTGTAATAACACAGGTTAAAGGTGCATTTGGGTTTAGAAAAATGGCATTATAAAACGGAGAGTTCCGGTCCTTGATTCTGATTGGTTGAG